GGCGCGCTCGCTATGGCGGCGCGAGCGGCTCAAACGGCGCCGGGTTGCGAGCGCCGGGAGCGGGCGGCAAAGCACAAGCAGGCCCTAGCGGAGGGAGCGGGCGCTGCAGCGGGTGGGAGCTCCCCCCCGCCTCTGGCAGAGGGGGCGCCGCTCGGCCCACGGCTGTGCCCTTGGGGCGTCCTTGGCGAGAGGAGCCGCCTCCCGGGGCCTGATGCTGCTGGCGAGCCCCTGGGGGCTGGGGCTGGCTCGCACAGGTGCCCCTCTGCCAGCTGGGGGGACCCCTCCTCCAGCACCGCCTGCTCTGGCTCTGGCCGCAGGATTCCTGCACCTTTATGTTCACAAGCCCCCCATCCACTGCTGCCCCCAGCCTCCCACTCAACCTCTGCCAGCCCTAGCCAAGCACCCCATCTACCTGATGAGGAAGGAGGCTCTGGCTGGGACAGTTTTCCTCTCCCTGCTCCAGTCACGACTCTGGGCAGTTTCCCAGGATGGCGTCCACTGGCCCCTTGGACTCGTTTGAGGCCCAGTGTGCTCTGTTCTCGGTATACTCATTTTGAACCTTTGACCTCACTCCTGTCCCTGTTTTGTCTTTAGCTGCCCCCCACACTCAGTGTACATGCAGTAGTCCCCCCTACTAACAGGCTAACCCTTGCTCCATGGGCATTGAGCCCATGTTAACTTTATGCGTTAAATAGGCCTCACTGGCAGGGAAGTGGAGCTGGAAAGGAAGGGATCTTGTTTAGCAACAAGAGGAAGATCCAGCAAAGTGTGGGTCCTTTACTGAATGGGGGAGGCAACCTAGTGACAGATGATGCGGCAAAGGCTGAAGTGCTCAATGCCTTTTTTACCTTGGTCTTCACACGCAAGGTCAAGCTAGACGTGTACAAGTCCACCGGGCCAGATGCAATACATATGAAGGTGCTGAGGGAGTTGACTGATGTGATTGCAGAGCTGCTGGCCATCATCTTTGAAAACCTGTGGCAATCAGGAGAGGTCCCAGAAGATTAGAAAAGGGCAAAAGGAAGAAGGAAGATCCAGGGAACTACAGACCAGTCAGCCTCACCTCAGTCCCTGGAAAAATCATAGAGCAGGTCCTCAAGGAATCCATCTCTAAGCTCTTACAGGAGAAGAAGGCTTTTTAGGAACAGTCAGCATGGATTCACCAAGGGCAAGTCATGCCTGACCAACTAATTGCCTTCTGTGATGAGGTGACTGGCTCTGTGGATGTGGGGAGACCAGTGGATGTGGTGTCCCTTGACTTTGGCAAAGCTTTTGATATGGTCTCCCACAACACTCTCACAAGCAAGGTAAGGAAGTATGGGTTGGGTGAATGGACTGTAAGGTAGATAGAAAACTGACTGGATCATCCAACTCAACAGGTAGTAATCAATGGCTTGATGTCTAGTTGGCAACCCGTATCAAGTGGAGTGACCCAGGGGTTGGTCCTGGGGCCAGTTTTGTTCAATATTTTCATCAACGACCTGGAAAATGGGATAGAGTGCATCCTCAGCAAGTCTGCAAATGATACTAAGCTGCGGGGAGTAGTAAATACACTGGGTTCAGAGCTAGGATTCAGAGCAACCTCAACAAATTGGAGGACTGAGACAAAAGAAATCTTGAGGTTCAACAGGGACAAGTGCAAAGTCCTGCACTTAGGATGGAAGAATCCCATGCACCAGTACAGGCTGGGAGCTGACTGGCTAAGCAGCAGCTCTACAGAAAAGGACCTGGGGGTTAAAGTGGACAATAAGTTGGATATGAGCCAGCAGTGTGCCCTTGTTGCCAAGAAGGCTAACAGCATACTGGGCTGTATTAGTAGGAGAGTTGCCAGAAGATGGAGGGAAGTCATTCTGCACTGGTGAGGCCACATCTGGAGCATTGGTGATGCGTAGGGGGTGCACGCAGGTGCATGTGCACCCCTTATGAAAAGGCACTGCTGACACTAATGGTGGTGCCTGCGGGCAGTCACCACTCGCCACCCCCGCCACTGATCCCACTGGCAGCATCTGCAGGCAGTCCGCGATTGCTGTTGGCCGCCACCACACTCCCGCCGCTGCCAGCACCGCCACCTGCCAGAGCTTGCTATGCTCCCCCAGCCACGGGGGGGGCACATGACATTCATGATCTGGAGTAGTTTTCAGTTTTGAGCCACCCATTGTAGAAAGAATGTGGACAAGTTGGAAAGGGTCCATCCGGCAGAGGGCAATGAAAATGGTTGTGGGGCTGGGGCAGATGATTTATGAGGAGAGGCTGAGGGAACTGGGCTTATTTACTTTGGAGAAGAGACAACTGAGGGGATTTGATAGCAATAGCCATCTTTTAACTACCTGAAGGGGAGCTCCAAAGAAGATGGAGCTAGACTGTTCCCAGTGGTGACAAATGACAAAACAAGGAGCAATGGTCTCAAGTTGCAGCAAGGGAAGTTTAAGTTGAATATAAGGAAAAATTTATCACTAGGAGGGTGGAACAAGTTACCTAGAAAGGTGGTGGAATCTCCATCCTTGGAGGTTGTTAAGGCCTGGTTTGACAAAGCCCTGGCTGGAATGATTTAGTTGGGCCTGGTCTTGCTTTGAGCAGGGCCTTGAATTAGATGACCTCCTGGGATCCCTTCCAACCCTAATTTTCTATGATTCTATGATCTTTCATCTATAGCCTGAGACAGGAGTATCCCTACACAGTGGTGCTCAACCTTTTTCCATGGCTGGATGGGCAGTGCTCAGTCCATCTGCAAGCCAGATCCCACCAGTGGCCCTGATCTGGCACTGGCCCTAGTGCAATGGGCACCATCTGGCCACGTGGAAGGGGGCATGGGGGGGGGTAGCCCTGCCATATCCCAGCCCCAGAAGGGAAGGGGATGTGGCCCAATCCAGATGGGGGGAAGGGGACATGTCCTGGCTGCAACCAGGCACACAGGGCTTGGGGTTTAGAAATTTGGCAGAGTGATAGTGACCATATTAATGGCCACTGCTCTCCTGCCACCATATTTCCCACCTCATGGGGAAGTCTTGTGGACCACATGTAATGACTCCTTACTGGGCCCGCAGGTCAGGGATTGAGTACCCCTATCCCTATGCAAACCATCCTATACAAATCTATCATCTAACCCAGGGATTCTCAACCAGGGGGGCCACAGCACCCTGGAGTACCTTGAGATCCTTTCAAGGGTGCCACAGTGGTGCCACCCAATGTTAGCACCGTGAGGTGTGCAGACCTGATTCACAAGATAAGCCCAGCAATTTGAAATAGAAATCCATAGTTACAGACTTTCTCAGTTCTTGGCAACAGAAAAATAGCTCTGTTATTTATCTGCACTCAATAACAGAATGAAAACTAAGAGCTGGCATTTTCCAAGGGATACATCAAGTCTATCCAAAGGTGCTTCACATCTGAAAAGGTTGAGACACCATCATCAACTTTGGAGTACTGCAGGATCATCTCTGGGATGTTTCTAGCCTTCCCCCTCAGGGCAGTGCTGCTGAGATAAGCCCTTGGTAGGCCTTGGCAGGGAGATGGGACTTGCACTTTTCTCTGGAAGGAGGATGGGGCTTGAATTGTGCTCTGCAGAGGCAATAAGATTTTGTGTGGAAGCAATTGCAGAAGTGAGCGCCTAAGAGGCAAATATCTCCATGCACCAAGACAGCCAAAAGGCTCAGTAGTAGAGCCCCGTTAGTAGCTGGTGTCTGTTTAGGTATGCAGTTCCTGTCCTACAGTCTCCTAAACACAGGGACGATTGCATCCAAGTGTGTGGGGAGGCTAGAAAGTTTACCCCTTCCCCTCTGCTCCGGCCAGCAAATCTGAGTTACTGTAAAAGTGTGTGTATGCAGGGCGTAGCAGTGAATATGTTCCCCTGTGGGCTCAGAAGGAATTGTGCAACTACACATTGTTTTCCATTCAGAGCTGTGGCTTAAAGCCACAAGAGTCCCAAGGGAGAGTATAGGAGCCCAAATTATACACAGCAAAAACTAAACAAAAAGAGGTAAGATGCAAGGTAAGATGCAATTGCCACTTACCATGCCTCTCCCCTGCTAACTGCTACACCCTATGTTCTGGTTCCCAGTAGCTACCCTCTACCTTCTTCTTCCCCACTTTCCATCTCTTCTGATGGCCTTCTTTCTACCTTCCTTGGTAACTATTCTGTCTTAAATGGCTCATTCCAAACCCCAGGTGTTAGAACTGATCACTCAAAAAAAACCAAAAACACCTCGTGAAAAGCCTGGTGAACAAAATGAGATTTATCATACCCCTTAGATTATGCACTGGCATAATCACAGGATTAGGATACTAACATAGCCTGGTCAAAATCCTGCATATCTGGATATGCTATAAGGAAAGACCCAGAGGTATAACCCAATATATCTTCAGCAGTTCACCAAACTATGTTCCTGTGATATCTAACCTTGCTATAATGAACCAGCAGTAAAAGGGTTCAAAATGTCAAAGTTTCTAAGCACCCTTAAGTTCCTACCTTAATATCTTTGTGAGAAATAATAAAGGCATTTCATCTTTCTCAGAGCTACTCAGTTTCTCTGCAGACTAAGACAACACTAATGTATCATTCAGACACATGCAGTACAATTGGAAAAGCTAGACTCTTTGGCCCAAATCCAACTCCACCTTTAGTAAGTAGTGTTTATGTGGCTAAGATAGCAGTGTAAGTGCCATTTTAGGCCAGTAAGGCAGATTTTAGAGCCTACTCCCCCCTGGGAAGCATGGAATCCATGTAAAGTCATAAAAAATGGAGGAGAACCTTGCCTTCAACAGTGCTTCTGCATTTTGCATTTAATAGTCATTGGATAAACTGGATACATACTGATAAGATAGCTTCTGTACTATCTCACTGAGTTGCACTTCCATTGGTTTGCTGCCCTTAGAACCCCATAGTTCTCCCCTCTTGGCTCCCCAGTAGACCATCTTCAACAGGAGAGGTGGAGGACACTTTACAGTAATACTTAGCCTATGGCCTCATGGTTAAGGCATTTTGCTGGAAAGTGGAAACCATAGGTTCAAATCTCCTCTGGATGAGGGGTGGGGCCCACAACCTGGATTTTTCTGCTCCCTGGATAAGTGTCCTAACAACTCAGGCATTGTGCTAAAAAGGTGCTCTTCCCTTCCTCTTCAATCTCATGATTGTTTCTGAGGTCTGACAGAGAGCAGAGACAGCAAATATGTGTGTAAGCTTGGGGCTTAAATGTCTGATGTCTCCTAATACGAGGGACAGCTGAGATGTTTACGTAGGATAACTTGTTCAACTGCAATTATTTTTTCTTGTTTATGTGAACTCTGAGAACAAGGATACTGAAATATGTGATTGGAAATGTTTGCCTGTTAGACAAATTATTTAAATTAAAAGATGGGTGACAGTTGAAATATTAGTGGCAATTTAAGACCTATCAAAAGGGACTAGGGGAAGAGGAATGCTGAAGTTTCTGATAGTTGCTTTGCCAACATTTTTCAGGAAATCCAAAACTTTCCCACATTTTTATGTGGAAATCTGCTTTATTATTGGAGATCGTCTAGAATAGGCCTGGGGCATTAGAACTGGCTGCACTACTCAGACTCATCGTCCAATAAACAATGCAATTAAGAGAAACAGGCCTGTATTTCTGGAACACCCAGAATCAAATGGCAAACCCACTACGCTCACATTGGCTTTGACATGGTACCTAAATGGCCTAATAATGGCGATCAAGCAGGTAACCTGCTGAAGCTTCCTTCTGCCTTTTATATAGATAACAGACTTTTATATAAGACTAAATTATACACATGGATAGCCCATGGAGCCACATATGCCTATTGTTATCCTCAGTTTTCTTTCCTATAACCTGCATCCCCCTCCCTGTGTTTTACATCTACAGCCAAAAATCCTGTCTTAATTTAGACTGTATATTTTTCAGGACCAGTCTCTTAAATATGTTTTCACTGCCCAGCACAATGCATCCTTAATCTTGACTAAAACCTACAGGTGCTAGTGTACTATAATAATGAGAGGCACTGGGATTTTAATTCTCACCACTGGGGTCATGGATTTTGCCTCTTCAAAGAGGATATTGCACAATGATTGGCTATATAATTCCTCTGCAGTTATTTTCTCAAGTTGTGTTGCTTCAATGGTGAGCCTCATATTAGACATCATAAATACAGAGAAAGAACAAATGCCTGTAAACAAAGCAAGTTATACATCTGAAAACTGTTGCCCACAAGCTTTGCGGGGGGGGGGGGGTTGTTTGTTTGTTTGTTTGTTTAAGAAACATCATCTTGAAAAGAATTCAGTAAAACTACTCAAGGGTTCAAGGCAAAAGGGACACTTTGTGAATTATTTGAATCAGAACATATTTTCCTTGTTGAAATATCCTGATAAATGGATCACATAAAAGGAGAACACAGACCAATAAAGTTAGAGCTCTGTGAATTTCATGTCAATGCTATCCTAGCTTTGTTCTTGAATTTTCAGCCCATAATGTACACAAAGCTCTTCTTTGCATCAATGGATCAGGCAGGGAATGTGGGATTATGCTCCCTCCACCTGGCTCTTCTCCTGTCACTCTTAGAAAATGTCAGAAGTGCACGCCTTGGCCTTATTACTAAGAATTGCTGAGCACCGGCAAATTCTGTTTGCTCTTACTGGAGTTGTGGAAGCTTGGTTCCTCTGCAGCTCAGGACACTGATGTGGCTGGGCTATGCATTGTCTTTGTTCTTTGCTTAGATTGTTTTTTATTTGGACTATATAAGAACAACTCTTCAAAATTTAAGCCATGTATAAAAAATGTATTCCTGCCCTTGGTACATTTTCCTTATATGTGTGTAAATAGGCATGAAGTGCAGGGCGAATAATCTTCAAGCTTTTTTCAGAAATGTGACATTTCTGAAGATTAGGATGGGGCTGGAGAATGGGTAAGATTTACATTCTTTGGGAGGAAAAATAAGGCCAAGTTTTAAGATACTGAAGTCTAACTCCATATGTAGGCACCTTAAGAAGTGGCCTCATTTGCAAAAGTGTTGGGCACCCAATCTGCTTCTCCCTTCCACCAAGAGGTGTTGAAGCCTCGGTATTTTTGAAAACCAGACCATCTATTTAAGTACCTAAAAGCTGATTTAAGAGGCTAAGTATAAGCAGGCAGTGATTTTTAGAAATACTGAACAAGTTTAAGCTGGCCTAATAAAAGGCCCAGTCTGTTTTCCCTGTACTTGCTGTGCGTCTCTGTGTACAAAAAGTAAATTCACTAGGACTCAACAACTCTGATGACCAGGCCAGAAGGGACATGCAGCAGACAAGCAGGTGATTGTTCTGCTTTGTAACTTTTCCTGCTTGGTGCCCTGTGATGCCTGAGGATTTTGTGTTCCAATGGAGCTGCTTTAAGAGGTACTCAGAACTGAGTCATCAGGTCACCAGGGAGGAAGACCTCACTTGCTCTCACCACTAATGCAATCTCCTAAGTTACTTTCCTGGGAGAAACACAGGCTTTGTAGCACAGAACTTTGGAGCACAGACCAAGTTCTGTTGTCATAGCTACAATCAGCCGGGGGCTTGAAATCCGCATATCCTCTAGTTCACCTTTTCCCAAGCTATGGGGCATACTCCTGTGCCAGAGTCCAAAAGGTTCCTAGGCAATCAGTGGTGCCCCACCCCAAATTCAGGTGCCACCCACCACTTTCCTCTCTGCTGATTCTCTTGCCCCCACCCTGTACTTCAGCTGCTGCTGCCACTTCCCTTCCGGGAAATGCTGGTGACTGAAGTAAGGGGTGCAAGAGAAGGGCACGAGTAAATTTAATTTGCCTGTGATGGGGTGCAAACCCACAAGGGTAGGGAAATGCTGCTGTAGCTAATGTAGCTATATTGGTAAGCTCCCCCTCCCCGCCAACACCATCTGGATATAGCTATGCCAGAAGAGAGCTTAGCTTTTTTTTCACCCAGGAAGGTAGTACAACTATCCTGTGAGAAAAGCCTCTTCTGCCATATGCTACATCTTCACTAACACAGCTATGCCAGCAGCAGCCCCATCATGCCGACAGGCTCTTAGACTTCAAATCTCTATACCAGTGGTGCTCAACTTACCTAGCCCCATTGGCCAGAAGTGGGGCACAGGGCTGGTTTGTGGACTGGATCCCAGGGCCAGGTTGGTCCAAAGGTGTGATATGGTGTGCTGGCCTGGCCCCATGCTCCCAGATCCAGTCCCACATTGAAGACCATGTCATCCAGCCCACAGGGCTTATTACAGGTCCAGAAATTTGGCAGCAGGGAAGCAGTAATTAATGCCCCCTGCTCCTCTGTTGCCAATTTTCTAGACCTGTGGGCCAGATGACATAGCTCTGTAGGCTGCATCTGGCCCATAGGCCAGAAGTTGAGCACCACTGCTCTGTAACAGCCAAAAGCAAGGATCAGGCCACTGGCAGCTTCCCTGCCATCCACCCTGAGGTGTGCGTGCCAAGCAAAATGCTGGGGGTTGCCTACCCCAAGTATACAAGCTGAGGGCTGTAAGTAACAACCTCAGATGGCATCTCTAAAGTGACAGATGTGTCTCAAGGAACAGACTAACTCCTATCCTCACGAAGGTCTTGCAACGGACCCAAATGCCTGCTGTGCCACATCAATATAGACCACACTGGACCAAATAACAAGGAGTATAAAATATCTGAGGTTCATTCACCTACAAGTCTACCACTGTCATATACACCACCACCTGCTTACAATGCCTCTTTGCTGTCTACATTGGACAGATCTTACATGATCTCTTCATGTAAGAATGAATGATCTGACATCAGCTGCAGAAAGAAACAACAGCCTGTGGCAGTACACTTTAATCTCCCTGGGCACTCTGTTGCTGACCTCAGGATGGCTGTTCTCAGGCAGCAATATTTTAAAAAGCATTTTGAACAGGAAAATTGTAGAACAAGAAATTATCCATAGCCTGGGTTGCATTAAGTATGGTTTAAACAGGGAGCATGGATTCTTACTCATTCCCTGGACTAGCTTTGTTCCTATGATTTTTTTTCTTGTTTGCTGCCTCCCACCCCCTTCTCTCACCCTCCTCCCTTCCCACCTTTTGTATTCAAATCACTGCCTCCATTTTATTGGTCTGTGCATGTCCTTCCACAGCATCTAATGAAATGGGCTCCAGGTCATGAAAGCCTGTGCTATATACATTTCTAAATTAGTTAGTCTATAAGGTGCAAAGTACCCTGCCTTCTGCCTGACTTCAGACTAATATGGCTAACAACCTGTCTGTGTAAATATTGAAACATTAGTCTTACAGAAAAAGAACTTGGAAATGTGACTTTAACATTCCTTAAAGGCACAAAAACCTAGGCAAAAAACATAAAATCCATACTTTTAAAATTCCATAATTTAAGAAAATTTGTTAGGGACCTGACTCATGATTTTTATATACTTGCAGGCAGTATTACTAAACGTACCTCCACCATCTTCCTGCTGCACAGAGACTGCTTCCTCCACAAGGGCAAGTCACTACTTGCTATCACTGACATTAAAGTCTCAGCACATTAGTCTCAGCAACCCAGAGAATCTAACCCTTAATATTTTAATTATTTCTTTTCACTAGATTTTGCTTTTCTAATACCCCCAATTCAGCCCTTTTTAATGGTAGAAACTGAAAGTTTCCATGCAGCACGGAAAGCACAGTTAGGGTAAGATACAGAAAGGTGCCGATTGCTTTAAGTTCTACCCTATGGGCCAGCTGTCACTTCCCCTGGTGGTTGCTGGGCTGCTTTTTTGGTTTGTTTATGAAGGCCACATGAAAAGTGCAGACGTTCCTGCTTCAGCTGTCCCCCACAGACTGAGAAACCAGCAGTAATAGGACATTTCATTTTCTTGAAGAATAAAATAAAAACAGATCCCTTGACTCCTAACAGAGCTCTGACACTTCTCTGCTAAGCTAATGGTTATCTTCCTGATCCTTCCCAGATGTTGATTCAGGCAAGTTCCAATGGCTGCTCCCCTTTAGCTCATTTTTCCTCAGAACTGGAAGCAGCAGACACAAAACAGGGGAAACTGGATGGAGGAGAAAGGGAACACAGGCTTGTTCTACAGTATTTTACATCTCCCTTCTACAGCTTAAGTGCTGTACAGTTTATATACCATATACCTTTTTCTCAGATGCAAGAGAAGTACAAGGGATTAGACAGGAGAACTCATTCTGTTTACACAACAGAGTTACTAGGGTAATATAGTGAAGATGATACTTTAGAAATAACTTTTATTGAATTAAACTGACAAAGAGCCCAAGGGCATGGACACAGGAATGGCTACACTGCGAGAGGCAATGCTGAAGGCATAAATATAGAGCAAACTGTGGCAGGTGCTGACAAACAGGCAGGCAGTGTTCAGAGCAGGCACACAAGAGTGGGTTTTGTCAAGAGCTGCACCAAAAGCAGGGTGCTGGCGCCCAGGATCATTTGAGGCACTGCCACTCCCAGCACAATATGGGATACCTGCTGTGGGCAGATGTTTTAGCCTCGGACTTCGGCTTCTGTTCACTCCAGTAAAAATTCACTGGGTATCTTTTGGGGGAATTGGGAAAATCTCCCATCCTCAGTGCACAGTTTCTCAGATTAAGACTGCCAACCTGGATTTAGGTTCCTCCCCATAAGATTTTTTGTTTCTTCTTCTCTCCATTACCACTACAGTAAATTGGGGCATCCAAAACACCCTCTCAAACGTGGCTCTCAATCCAACCTTGAGTCCTCCTGGATGCCTTCTGGCACTGGACTGACATGCAACATTTAGATTCCGACCCAAACACACCTAGAACCTGCTGCCTGGGGCTCCAGAGAGAAGCCAGGCAGATGTCTTCACTTTCTAATGCATCTGAAGAGGACATTGTTATATCACTGTTCCTGATTTAGTTTAGCTTATAAACAAAGAAACAAACAATCCAGAAAAGAACTTAAGTAGCTGGGGAGGAATTGTGGCGAATAAGGACAAAATGGCTCTAAGGTCCCCTTCTACACATTATATTTGTGCAGCAGTTCAGATGTTAACCAGGCATAAATGGGAAGGGTGCTACATGTGCACCAAATCTATGCAGACACAAAATGGGAAACAAGCCATAAAAATGTTCCATCTTTTAAAAATAGAACTCATATTTTGACATCCCCCAGGCCTGGTATCAGGGCTCATGGCATGACCAGCTGAAGGTCAGCTCCAGTGTCAATGAAATGCATGCTGTTATGTTAAAACAGTTAAAAAACTAGCAGTGAAATATTTTCTGAATCATTATACATAACTTGTGTAGCAAAGTACAGTTATCACTGCAGTTCTTAGATGGCTGAAGGAAGTCAGAATTCACCAGACTCATATTGTGCCCCAGGCATGAGGATATCCAGTGTATGATGAACTATGGTATTACAGCTAGCTGTGAGGCAATAGATGTGATGTAAAATCTGTGGCCAAATGCTCTCAGACCTGAGGACTCTCTGTAGCAACCTAAGAACATACATTCTTTGTAGATTTTGGCTAGAGACTCTTCAGTACTCAGCAGAGATGAGCATTAGTAAAAACAGATTAGTCCTACCTTTGATTTATTTGGGCTCCATCTTCACAGTCAACACAATGCATTTTAAAACTGGGTACTGGACTAATTATGTCCCAATCAGATTAGGCCTGTGAAATGAGACCCAAATGTGTGTTATATTCACATGAATCATGCTTCAGATAAAGGTCTATCTCCATCACTAAGTTTTCAATGGCAGGAGACTGTGATATAATGCAATACTTTTCCAATATAGATAGAACACACTTGGTCTTATCCATACAGATACTAAAGTTATGGAAACATTACAGATACAGAGACAGGTAGGACTCAGGTTGTTCAACAAATGAATCTTTCATCCCTTCCTAGGCCCCTAACACTGCCTGGATTAATATATGGAGTTCCCTTTAAACCAATTCCCAACACATTCCAGTCTTCTCTACAAATCTGGTTCAAAGCATTTGACAACCTTGTTAAGCCACAGTGGAGTTACCACTTTGCATGAGCTCAAGTTTTCAGTGTAGTTAGATAATAATGGCCACTAACAGAAGCAGCTGTGCTCACAGAAGGCCTCTGATTCAGTGCAAGGTGAGTAGCTGGAGGCCATGCAAAAAAGTTGTATATGAAGTAGGGAGGTCTCCAGCTGGAAAGTAGTCCAGAGCTGAAAAACACTTCTTGGAAATGCATTTGATTGAATTCACTGAGGTAGTGTCTAAGCTGGGATAGAAAGGGACACAGGGGACATATGATTCCTCAGAGAACATCTGCCCAGGAGCTAGGCTCAGTCAGCACTGAGAGCCTTACTTTCCCCCCTTTTAATACCAGTCTCTGCTTGCATTGTCTGCAAGCATACCTACTTGGACAGAGCCAACCCCACCCAGCAGTTCTCTAACTCCTTCCTCACCATGAGCTAGGCAATCCACACAATCACATGGGAAAACAGAAGGCTTCCTAAACACCTGCCCTGATCAGATGTTGATAATGTCTCCTTTGTGAGGTATTAAGGGGGGGGAAAGGGTTTTCTACATGGCTACAAGAACCACCCAGAGGCAGATTCCTGGGCAAAAACAAGGTTAGAAAAAAGAAGGCTGGACAGCTCCTCAAAGCCAGAGGCAGGTAAGAGCTGGTTCCCCTGCACATAACCAACAGGCTGATTGTCCCATCTATTAATTTCTGTGCAACCATGAAAGTGTGTGAACATTGTTGCCCCGATGGAGATATCATGCATGGAAAGTGGGGCACTCTCACCTTCCAGCGGCTGTTCCCAGATGCAGATTTGCTTGCTTCTGCAAGGCCACACAAAGGAGAAACTGTTCCTTAAACTAAAAGCCAGTATGAGGCCTTGGCACCACCTGGGCCCTATTAGGAGTGACCAGGTGAAAAACCAGGTGTGGCTATTGCAGGAATGGCCAGACATTACATACATCCTGCAGAGGCCACTCTGAAATAAGCTCAGAGTACAGGCACACATTACTGTATCTGCCCTTAGGCAGTATGAGGAGTCTTGCCACCTTGACAACCACCATTAAAGTTAATACCTTGTTTTTCACATGAATCTGTGCCTCCTTGCCTCTCCCACCTGGTTCACATTAGCCTCTGGGCTGTAGGAGCTAGCTTTCTGTGTTGTTTTTAGCCTGCATTGGTGCATCACTGTCCCATATCAGTGCGCCACCTGTCTGGACAACTGCACTGCTTTTTTCTGCCATCAGACATGTATGCTGGCCCCAGGAACTCAGTATCCCAGTTTGATCCTCATGGCTGCCCTTTTGCTGTGTTTCTTTGCTTTGCCAGTAGATGTATTTCTCCAGATCTATGCAGCTAAGTGTCCTGAAAACTGCTGTCTTCTTCTAGGAACAGGGAGGTTGCACCTGAAATAGCAGAAGCCTAAACCTTTACAACAGTGCGGGCAAGACATTTTCCTTGAACGGGTCTAGATGGACAGGGCTCCAAGAGACTTCACTTCCGGGCAGAGATTCTCCAGAGATTAGCTGGGAAAACTGGCTTGAGGGGTGTATGCCTTCTTGTGTCTACCTTTTCCCTATTGCTTGCTTTGCAACACTCACTGGGAGGATGTAAGCCATAGTTTACATTGCTGTTCTTTGAGTGTTGTCTATTTAGGTTTGTCAGCCACATAACTTGTATGTTCTTAGCTAACAGTTCTGGAATTAACCTTAATAAGCCTGGTTGTTTCATTTCCTTTCATCTTGTGCTTTATCATTCTAGAGAGCAATAATTAAGGAGAAGAGCACACCACAAATAACTACTACAAACCCAGACTAGAGATGCTCAGGCTGGAGTGCTGGATTTCCCTCCTCTCTCTGTGGAGCACCAGGAGTGTGCTCAGTACCTTACAGAACACAGTAATTATTAGTCTCTGCTCAAAGCAGCTGAAAGTCCAAGAGATTGTGTGCTGTGCAGCTATACTGCCTCTAATTTATGCTTCCTGTGACTAGCTAATGTTAGTCTAATAAAAGGACTACATCACTTCACTGACATCAGCAGTACTATTACTACAAGCAGAGCTGTTTCATTTTAAACTATGCCTTTAACAAGCACAACAACAGTTTTTTTCCAGCTAGGAAGTAACAATGATGGCAAAGGGTATTAGGTGCAACAAGCACCATTTTGTATAGTTTTCACAACCTATTAATCAGAATATAATAGTTTCTGGAACTGAAATGAGCTCTATGTTGTGCTAAGTCTCCTCTAATGTCATAATCCCACCTGCCAATAATAAGGATGGACTGCAAATGCCTGGAAATAAGCAAATTCTCTTTCCTACATGGCACTGAAGCTAGGCATACCCAGCCTCATTTCCAACTGTGCTACTGCCTTAGTTTCTATCCAGTTAGTCTCCAACAGGGGGAAAGGGAAATAGATCTCTCACTAAAATTCCCCTTTGGATTCTTGTTTGGTAAAAGCATTGTGGGGAAAAAAAAACTAAGAACTTTTCCCAGTTCCCTGTTGGGTCACAGTCCTTAGTGCAGAGCTGTCCTCTGTTGGGGCTTTCCTTCCAGAAGCCTCTTCTCTGCCTCCCATTACAACCCAGCTGGCCTCTGTCCCTGCAGGATCAACCCCTGGAAAAATCCACTAAGCAAACTTATAGACTGCTTATAACCACCCAAGTCCTGGATTCAATCCAGCTTCCTGAGAGATGTATAAAG